GCATTGATATCTCATAATTCCGCATTTATATCTCGTAATTCTGAATTGATACCTCAGAATTATGCATTTATATCTCGTAATCTGCACTGATATCTCATAATTTTGCATTTGTAACTCGTAATTCTGCATTGATATCTCATAATTTTGCATTTGTAACTCGTAATTCTGCATTGATATCTCATAATTTTGCATTTGTAACTCGTAATTCTGCATTGATATCTCATAATTTTGCATTTGTAACTCGTAATTCGGCATTGATATCTCATAATTCCGCATTTATATCTCGTAATTCTGAATTGATACCTCAGAATTATGCATTTATATCTCGTAATCTGCACTGATATCTCATAATTTTGCATTTGTAACTCGTAATTCTGCATTGATATCTCATAATTTTGCATTTGTAACTCGTAATTCGGCATTGATATCTCATAATTCCGCATTTATATCTCGTAATTCTGAATTGATATCTCATAATTTTGCATTTGTAACTCGTAATTTGGCATTGATATCTCATAATTCCGCATTTATATCTCGTAATTCTGCACTGATATCTCATAATTTTGCATTTGTAACTCGTAATTCTGAATTGATATCTCGCAATTCCATATTTATATCTCGCAGTTACATGTTTATGTCGCAATAAAAAAATATATTTTAATGTTAAACTTTTTAGTCACTTCTAATGTTTTTTACTTTAATTTTGAAAATATCAACATTAGAATTAAAAGAACAAACAAAAGGGTTAGGGTGTAGTAGCTTAAGTATGAGAAGTGCTATAAAATAGCGTTGCTTTATTATTATATCAATATATACAGCCTATCCTTCAAACCATATTTGAAGTTTTTTAATTGCTTTCCATTTTATTAACTACTGTAGTTTTACTTCAGTAACAATGGTATTTTGGTGGAAACTATGGTCAGTGTGGTAAATTCTGTAAGGGTTTAAACAGGAAAAAGAGCGATAGAAAATTATACCTTAGCAGGCTCCTCCTCTCTCTCTCTCTCTCTCTCTCTCTCTCTCCTTCTCTGTCTCTCTTTTCTTTTCTGCCGTGCGCTTTTTAAGGCGATGGAGAATTTTACATCTGCAGGATCATCATCGTTTCCATCACTGCTAAAGAATCCGCTGTTCAGACACTGAGCAGAGAGAAGAGGACGAGACAACCGTGAGACACCAGAGCGAGTGTAATGATTCAGCTGTTTCAGACACTCTTCAGCTGGGACTGCAGCGTTAAACTAACATTCAGCCCACGTACTTGAGGTGCAATGCCAAGGGTGTAAAAAGCAGCTTTGTGGGTATTTTGTTTTGTCATCTTGTGATTGCTTGCCCTTGCTCTATGAATTACATGGCTGGCATTTAAAGGCATCATGAAACTGAAACCGACCCAAGTTACTGTAACAAATGCCCCTGCTCTCATTGTGCACAATAGTTAAGTGCATGTTAATCTAAAGAAATGCTTTTTTATGATCTTTAAATGTAAAATCAGGCCCAATCATTCATTATTTCCCACATAATATTCCATTTTACTCATAAATGCATAATAATGCTTCCTCCTATTGTCCTCTCATATCAAAATCAGTGCTTGATCTGTGCATATTTCTCTCCTGATTCAGACAAGACCACCTTTTTCACCAGAGAAACCACTATAGAAGTCATATTGAAGATCTATTTCACAATCTATTAACAGCATTAGTGATATGTTACCAATAACTACAGATAACAGCGATTAACACCAGTCTCATGCTAGTATGTAAAATGTTGTAAGGTGTTATGGTTTCAAAATAAGTCATTTAGTTTCATATTTTCATCATTTATTTGCAGTGCTGCCTTCTGTGCTTCTATTGATCATATATTTATACATTTACAGACAAATATATAAATAAATAAAAATATTGAATTATTTACTAGTAAATATATTGCTTTGTTTCCTCTAAATGCACTTTTTGTTCAGTAAATACACTTGTAATTTATTTTTAAATAAATTATTAATTTACGCACTACTATACTATACACATTACTATAGTAAATATATAAACAAAAATTACAAGTATATTCACTCTAATTTTATATATATATATATTTATATAATATAATTTTTTTTATATTTATAAATAAATAAAAATATTGAATTATTTACTAGTAAATATATTGCTTTGTTTCCTCTAAATGCACTTTTTGTTCAGTAAATACACTTGTAATTTATTTTTAAATAAATTATTAATTTACGCACTACTATACTATACACATTACTATAGTAAATATATAAACAAAATTTACAAGTATATTCACTCTAATTTTATATATATATATATATTTATATAATATAATTTTTTTTATATTTACCCAAAACACTTTCAGTAAAATTATTTAATTATTTACTAGTAAATGTCATTTATTTATTAAATCATTTATAATTATTATTAAATCATTTATTTAGAAGTAAATCACAACAGTATTTCCTCTAAATGCACTTTTTGTTCAGAAAATATATTTGTAAAATAAATTATTAACTTATACATTTACTGGTAAATATATAATCTAATAATTTATTTAAAATTAAATGACAAGTATATTCACTCAAAAAAAACTTTGTTAAAAAACATTTAAATATTTAAAAATAAGCTAAACAAACTTTTTGTTCAGTAAATATATTTGTATTTTTTTTAAACTAAGTGAACTAGTAAATATATATATATAAAGTGAAAAAGAAAATCGACCTTCAGAATGAAGCGCTATACGCTGTGTGGTGATATTTCATTCAGTTTCTCCATTTAAAACCTCTAGAAATGTACAAAACTGTATATTTAATGTAGAATAATTGACTATCAAATGAATGTACTTTGACATTTACACTGTCAAAATGTATTGTTGTTTGTCTGTCTAAATGATCCTTGCTTTAATGTTTAGAATGATTTCTCTTGCCAGAAATGATCTCTTGTTTTTATTTTCATTATATGAACTCGTTTATTGTAATCTGCTCTAATTAAATCATTTGATTATCATTGACCAGTTGATTATAGTGACTTAATACTTGCATTTTGCCTCTAATGGTTTACATGTCAAATGTTTCAGAGAGTCGTATACATGTGTGGAAATGATTCAAATAAATGTTTTGATTTATAATGATGATCTTGTCAGTCAAACCTTTATTGGCTGCATTTCTAATGAGCATCACAAATACATATTGCACTCATTTATGGCTCATAAAAGAGTGTAATATGAGTGTCCTACATGATGTACTACACATTTATGTTTGCAATCAGGTCCTGTGCATCCCAGCGAATACTCATGTTATCTGATTATGAGTATTAATGAAGTTACTATATGAAAAATATAACTCGTGTGCTTCAGAAAACCATCTGTACTGGTGCTTTAAAGAACCTAGTAACCAAAACGCTGATCTGAAGAACCTTTGTAAGATCTTTAAGATCTCCAAAGAACCTATAAAGCCCAAAATGGCTCTTGATAAGAACTTTTATTTAGAAAATTGTAATTAATAATACGGTTTAATTTTGAGGTCAGCTTGACCATCCCTGCCCACCTTTGTCTCTGTCTGTGTGTGTGTGTGTGTGTGTGTGTATGTCGTGTGCGTTTAGGAAGGACCGTACGTGATGTTGAAGAAGAACTGGGAGATGTACGAAGGAAATGACCAGTTCGAAGGATACTGCGTGGATCTGGCGTCCGAGATCGCCAAGCACATCGGCATCAAATACAAGATCTCCATCGTTCCTGACGGGAAATACGGAGCCAGAGATCCAGAGACGAAGATCTGGAATGGCATGGTTGGGGAGCTGGTGTACGGGGTGAGATGCATACATGTATATCAGTCATACAAGGTCATTTACATTTGTTTTTACATGATTTTACAGATATTTCTCATTGTGTTTTATCATGAATTTTACCTTTTTCATGCACATCGCTTTTTAATGCATGTGCATCAGATGGAAGAGCCTGAAAAATAGATTTCCAACATGAATTGAGCTAAAGAAGTTAACTTTATCATACTAATGTTGTTTGATTTTGCTTGTTAGAATAAAATGTTATGGAAATGCTAAAAAAAAAAGAAAGAAAAGAAAAAAACTGGAGAGAAGAACATTTTCAGTAGTAAATATATAAATAATTATATTTATGGAACAAAAAGGGTTTAGTTTAGTGTTTCTTTTTTAATACATTTTTTATATATTTACCGGCAAAAAATAAATAAAAATACAAGTATATTAAAATATAACTTTCAAAATATATATATATATAAAAACTTTTTTTACAAAAATTCCAAGAAGCTTATATTTAGTCTAAATACTTTTCATTCAATAAATGTACTTGTAGAGTAAATATACTTGTAATTTATTTTAAATGATTGATTTATGCAATTTATTTAAACAAAATTAATTTTTTTATCTATTACATTTTCGAGAACTTTATAACTTTACAATAAGGTTTCATTTGTTAACAATAATTAACTACATTAGTTTACAATGAACAATACTTCTATAGCATTTATTAATATTAGTTAATCTTAACATTTACTAATACATTTTTAGAATGAATCTGTTAACATTAGTAGACTGTGAAATAACATGAACAACTGGATTTTTATTAACTAACATTAGCAGAGATTAATAAACGCTGTCAAAATATATGAACCAATGTTGTTATTTTTAACTAAAACTAAAAGTATTACATTTCGTTTTCGGTACCTGAAAGCTGAAATGAAAAAAAAAAAAAAGATTAAAAACATTTAAAAACATTAAATAAAAATTGCCTTGGCAACTAACTGTAATAAATACATTTATTTTGAAGTACTAAAATGACTAAAACTAAAACTGAAAAAAATAGAAATATAAAAAAACGAATACAAATGACAAAAACACAAAATTACTAAAACTTTAAATTGAAAATAAAAACAAAATATAAAAATAAAAAGTTCAAATTATTAATAAAAACTATAATAGGATCTCAATGATACTAAAATAACACGGAATAGAAATGTTTTAAAAAACTTAAAATTATAAAAGCACAAAATAACTAAAACTAAAATTAAAATGAAAACTACAAACATTAAAATAAAAGCTAATTCAGAATATTAATAAATATTTTAAAAGTATATAAATAATTATAAAATAATAATAGATAATATATAAACAATATAATAATAAATAGTATTTATAAAATATATTATAATAAATACTTAATATATTATATTAAAAACTGATGCTAACGTGATTTATTATTGTAAAGTGTTACCAACAGAGCTGTTGACATGCTGGCAATTATTGACATATTTAATTTAATCGCCAATATTTTTATTAGAATTTCTAAAAAAAGTCAATTTGCATCTTTAATTTTCCTCCAGTAAGACAAGACACGTCGTGAAAAATATAACAAATAAGAAAATTAGAGAAAGAAATTGGTTTCCATAAACCAACAGCACGACCTCTCATTTCAGTAAGTTAATGGCCCGCCTGCAGCAGAAGCGCTGCTGTTTGACCAGATGTGTTGGGTCGTGTGCGATGGACGCAGCGTTTGTGTTGGATTCGTACAGCCAGAGCTCAAGGCGTTGTCTCTTTTAAATGCAGCCAGAAGTATTAACACCATCATTCAGCGTGCAAGTACATAAAATCAGTCACTCGACATCTCGCTGCGACTCCAACAGCGAAAGGCAAACGCTCCTGCCGCCGAGTGTTAATGAGCTCAGGGAGAGGACAGATGCGCATCTTTCTGCCCCATTAAACACTCTCATCCACCAACCTGCTCTCTGCTAACACACACTCCACGAGAGGGTCCCGCACGTAAAAACGGCATTCAAAATCTCCACAGTGAGATTTATAGGATTTATAGGCTTTCACGAGAGACCAGAGGGTGTTAAACAACGTTATTAGACGCTCGCTTGGTCAAGTGCTGCAGCCTGACGTCAAATATGTCTGTATAATGACTAAATGACCAGTCTTCAAGGAAAAGTTCAGCCAAAAAGGAATTTGATTTTGAAAGTTTATGCCATCCAAGATGTAGGTGAGTTTGTTTCTTCATCAGATTTGGAGAAATGTAGTATTGCATCACTGGCTCACTGCAAGTGAATGGGTGCCGTCAGAATGAGAGTCCAAACAGCTGATAAAAACATCACAATAATCCACAGCACTCCAGTCCATCAGTGAACATCTGGAGAAGACAAAAGCTGAAACAAATCCATCAAGACGTTTTAACTTCAAACTTTTGCTTCCAGCTAAAATACAAGTCCATAATCCATAATAACGCTTCCTCCTGTTTTTACAGGAAAAAAGTGGTACCTGTGGTTGCCAGAATAATTATGCAAAAAAAATAAATACAGTAAAATAAAAACAATTTGACAGAACGCAGTTAAATAAATAAAAAATTACACTTTAAACCAGTCAATCCAATCCTGAATTAGCATGGCCATGTTCGCTAATGCTAACCAGTGTTGTTATTGTTAAGTAAAACTATTACAAATTGTTTATTCGTTTTCAGTACTTGAATTAAAGCTGTAATAAAATAAAATACAAATATTAGATTAAAAAAAAACTTAAACTTAAATTGAAACAAAAATGAGAATGGTTGCCTTGGCAACTAACTGAACTAAAAAATGACAAACTAAAACTGAAATAAAAATGAAGCTAAATAGAAATAGAAAAAAAGACGCAAAATTACTAAAATGAAATGAAAACTGAAACTATAAAAAGTTCATTCAAAATATTAATAAATAATATAATAGTATATAAATAATACTAAAATAACACTGATGCCAACAAATAAGACCTTTTTGTAAAGCGTTATCAATATTGTTTACAACAAAAAATAGAGATGCTGACAAAACAGCACAGAGAAGCCAATTAGTCATGTTTGCTCAAATTGTTTGCCGACAACTATTGACTTATTTAATTCAACTGAAATGTAATTTAACCATAATTATTAACCCAATACAATGCTGAATTATCATGACCACATTTCTACTAAAATCAGTTTTGAACCTTTAACAGATTAGCATTTTTAAAGTCTTTCACCATTAAAACTAGACTTATTTTTTACAGAGTCACTATAACACTGTGTCACAGTCACTGGGGCTAAATATAACCCTCCAGGATGATCCGGATCATTTGTCTGGGTTTATTCTGTGGCAGTGACGGGCTAAATGTACATTCTCCCGTATATCTTTAATGATACATTTAAAATGATATATTTAGGTATTACACCTGCAATTTTGAAGCAATATCAAAAAGCAGAGACAGAGACATCACTGCAAACTTGACAGACAGACAGATTTCTTTAAAACGTTACATAAAAATGAGCCAAAAACCCAGACTGTCGTGATTACATCACTGCCAACTGTTAATTCATTCATTCACGTATAAAAGATGTTAAGTAAACTGCATTCAGCAGCTTCATCTACAGCGCCGCAACCAAAGATATTACATACAAAGACTGAGGATTGTGAAAGAATGCATAATTGAAATAATTGTGTTTTCTTCTCTGGCACATGCACAGTGTAATATGATTCAAACAAATGACTCTGAAGAGCTGGTTCTTGTGATGATTTGTCAGAGAAGTTAATGAATTCACACTGATTTAGTGACTGGATGGCAATAATTACGTATATTATGAATAAAATATTAAATTTTTTTTTTTTACATAAAACACACAGATTTAACAATAACAAAAATGGTAATAAAATAAATATTTTATTATAAAAAATAAATATATAAATTAAAATGTTTCAAAATGATATTTATATATTTACATATAAATGTTCATATGTAAAATATAATAAAATATAAATATTGTATTTATTTTATTATAAAATAAATACTATAAATGTTATATAAATGTTTCAAAATATTATTTATATATAAAAGTTAATATAAAAATGATTATATTTATAATTTATATAATAAAAATAAATACATATAGAATTATATAATTACTATATTATTACTATACTATATTAACTCTCACTATATTATGTATAAACTATTACTTTTTTACGTAAAATATTTATATTTTATTATAAAAAAAAATATATATATATATAATTATTTCTATGTAATTACTATAATTATTACTTTTTTACATTTATATTTATATTGTATTATTAAAAAAATAATATAAATTAAAATGTTTCAAAATGTTACAAAATACCGTTGTTTTTTCAGTGTATAGTTAGGTTTTTTTTTGTACACAGCCTTGCAATATTGTCTTGTTATTCTTTTCAAATACATTTTTCTTTTTTTGCTTTGCGCGACATTAATCTTAAAGCTGCTGGGTTTGGTTCAAGGCTTAAAACTTCTCATGGAAGAATTTTTTGCAACGCAGCTGGAGAAAATAAATGGCATATACATTTTCAGGACCAAGGCCGCTGAAAAAGCAAGCACACACACACACTCACACTTATTCGATAGAGGATGTCACACACAAACTAATCGTTCATGCTTTACATGGCATGCGAATTCAGACATAACTCACATGAAATTACATGAGCAAAATCTTTTCTACTGTTCAGCTTGCAAAGTTGCAGAAAACGTTAATTACGAGCTGCGGGCTCCTCGAGGGATTATTAGGGAGAAAAATATACAGCATTTCTGAATCAAAACCCGCTCAGCGTTAGACTCTCTCGACGTGCTTCACAGATTCAGAATCCGTCCTCTCGCTGGCACGAACACAAGATCGCTCTCTCTATTGCCACAGGCCTCTAATTAAATCCAGCAGTGAAACAACTTCTTGTATTCCTACAGGAGGGCCAAAAGATGGCCGACTTTCACCACTGAGCCGCTGTAAATATTACTGTATGCAAGTCCCTCAGATGCCGTTCACTGATAAAACCATTTCCATTCACAACGGCTTGAATCTTATAAACTTGCATATGCTGTAAATGTGATTTAATAAATGAAGTGCATTGCAATTTTTTTACTCAAGGTTTTTTTTTATCATCTCAACCCTTTAAAGAAGGAGATGGTGGAAAGTACTGGGCTGTAAAGACATGTTTGGACACAGAACAGCAACTGGGGAATGTGTTTTTCTTGTGAAATTGCACCATTGAAAGCACTTTACTATAATAACCCGTCTCTCCCGGCCTTAGTGTGGGTTTAACCAGGCCTTCACCACAATACAGGGATCTTGAGGTTCTGGTGACCTTCGAAATGAATGGGTCGGACGGATGCAGAAATGAGTCAGTGGGAAAATTTCTGCCGTCATTTCTCTACATAAAAGGGTCATATTCTACAGTTTTAAAGCAGTTTGTCCATGAAAAGTCCAATTAAATTTTAAGGTTTCCTAAAATTTGTGATTTTTTAATAGAAATTAATACTTTTATTCAGCAAGGATGCATTAAACTGATCAAAAGTGACAGTGAAGACATTTATAATGTTGCAAAAGATTTCTACTTCAAATAAATACTGTTCTTTTGAACTTTCTATTTATCAAAGAATCCTGAAAAATTAAAAATATCACGGTTTTCACAAAAATATGAAGCAGCACAACTGTTTTCAACATTGATAATAATCAGAAATGTTTCTCGAGCAGCAAATCAGCATATTATACTGATTTCTGAAGATCATGTGACACTGAAGACTGGAGGAATGATGCTGAAAATACAGCTGCGCATCACAGAAATAAATTACATTTTACAATATATTCACATAGAAACAGTTATTTTAAATTCTAAACATATATCAATATTTTTACTGTATTTTTCAAATTGTCAAAAAAAATGCAGCCTTGGTGAGCAGAAGAGACGTCTTTCAAAAACATTCCAGAATTCTAATCTAATTTTGTGTCTGTTCCTTTAAGAACTGGCTCTGGATTGTAGAATAAGTTAGCATAAGTTCCTAATAGTGACAGTGAAGACTGGAGTAATGATGCTGAAAATTCAGCTTTGACTGACAGGAATTAATTACATTTGATAATATATTCACACAGAAAAACGTTATTTTAAATAGTAAAAGTATTTCACAATTTTGTTGATTTTACTATATTTTTGATCAAATAAATGCAGCCTTGATGAGCAGAAGAGTGTCTTTTAAAAAATGAAAAATCTTACTGACCCTAAACTTTTGAAAGAGTATGTGATTTTATTAAGGGATAGTTTAAACAAAAATGAAAATGCTGTCATTACTCACCCTTGTCTCTTTTCAAACCGGTATGACTTACTTTCTTCTGTGGAAGATAAAAGATGACGTTTTGAAGAATTACAATGAAAGGCAATGGGGTCCAATGTTGTTTTGACCTCAACATTCTTAAAAATACACTATTTTGTGTTCTGAAATGACATGAAGGCATGTAAACAATGACAAAATATTAATTTTCACCTGAAATATCCCTTTAAATATACAGCAAACAACGGAAAAGAATCCAAAATAAAAATATATAAAAATCACCTCAATGTTCACATGAGATTTAAAATAATCATTTTTTTTCTCCAGATTTGACATGCATTCATCGTCTTGTTTTTGCAGCTTTGTTTCAATACATAAACTGAATGGGAAGGTCACATTCTGAACCTCCTTCCTCCACAGAGAGCGGAAATCGCTGTGGCCCCTTTAACCATCACTCTGGTCCGGGAGGAGGTGATCGATTTCTCCAAGCCCTTCATGAGTCTGGGAATCTCTATCATGATCAAGAAGCCGCAGAAGTCCAAACCTGGCGTCTTCTCCTTCCTGGACCCGCTGGCCTACGAGATCTGGATGTGCATCGTGTTCGCCTACATCGGCGTGAGCGTGGTGCTCTTCCTGGTCAGCCGCTTCAGCCCGTACGAGTGGCACACCGAGGAGCCCGAGGAAGGCTCCGACGGTCCGCCCAGCGACCAGCCCCCCAATGAGTTCGGCATCTTCAACAGTCTCTGGTTCTCTCTGGGCGCCTTCATGCAGCAGGGCTGCGACTTCACACCCAGGTGACACTAGCACTAGAGCTGTGCATTCATCAAAATAACTGCACCAAGCCAAGGCTGCAATGGAATTAAATAAATACATGTGCCGCACGTTTCAGGGTGAAGCTCGGCGCTGTGTTTATTTACACGTGCTCGCGCTGGTGTTTTCAGTAAACGCTGCTAAACATGAAATCATCACTGCATCTGCTGAGATTTGGTCGCTTATAACGTGCACTTTAATATGCAACCTGTGCAAACAATCTTCCCAAACTTATAAACCTGCTGTTGTCAAAAAGAGAGGCTTTAAGGTCAAAATAAAAGCTTAATTGTTTATTAGTATTGTAGTATCGTAATTCGAGTGGTACTGTAAAACCAAATTATTATTGTTGTTGTTAATTATATTTTTCTGAAATACTAGATGTAACGAATCAGCTCATGGGAAATATGAATAATTAATCATAACTAGTTATAATTAATTATGAATATTTTAGATCCGCTGTAGATATTTAGCTGACCTCTCAGGGTCAACTGTCTTGTCAATTCTAAGAACGTTAATTTCCTGGTTAAGGGAAATAACTTCCTTGCTGTACAATTCTACAAAAGCTTGTAGCATAAATCTGCATGATTAAGTGACTCCAGTTATGAGCAAACAATGAACCCCGTCAAGTGTGATACAAGTAAGGTTTTATTAACTACATAAACACTTAAACTAGTCTAACATAATACATAAACACATAAACTGGTCTAACATACACATACACACACACAGTTTGTATAGGAAAGGGTTAAAAGCTTAACGCAGTAAAGAGAAGAGAAATAAGAATATGAAACTATGGTACCATTTGATATTCAGCAGATTTACAGCCTGGATGAAACATCAGATTCTTAGTTCAAACACACATTCAGAACCACCGACTGTAGGAGGGTCCCTGGTGTGGGCCTTTAAGGTTGGAGAAGATACCCGCCTCTCACGGTGGGCTTGTCCAATGAGAAAGGAACAAATTCCAAGCGGGAGGTTGCAATTGCTGGAGGGTTTTACGACTCTTTGTTTGAGGGCATGGTAATTTGCAAATGTAGCTTGGATCAAAATTACTAAAGACTCTTAGAACATTAATATGTTGCGTAGGTGTAAACATACAATATACACTCTCAATTAGATCATCCGAATAC